TTTTGAGAAGGCGACTAGGGTCCGCGCCAGTGAGAGCAAAATATGAATACATTCCAAGACATTGCCAGCCCTCCAAAGGGCTAGGTGTTCTGCTCCTTTGCTTGGGTTTTGCCATTAGCTTCGGTGATCTTCGGTGGGTCCAGGAGAAGCAGGCGCTCTTGAAGGACCTCCCGGAACGTTTCCATGTGAGCGCTTGGGTGCCACAGGCACAGATCATCCAACGACCTGAACTGATGTGTGTGTTGACACATTGCGGCACCATGGCCTGCAATTGAGCTGTGTTCGCTTTCAGATGCTTTGCTCATTGTTTGGTACATTTTAGCGCAGATGAGCTGTGGCGCCCGAAGTCAGTATGCAACCACAAAGGTTGAATGCATCTCCCGAAAGAACAACACATAACAACTATGTGAACAAAGATTAAGTTTTTATGTGTAATGTTATTTGTTTATGATGTTTGAAGATATGAGAAGAACATATGCTAATAGATCGGACATTGTGTTTTTCTTGACCCTTGCTGTGGAAACAACGATTCCATTGTCAGGTGTAAGTAGAAAATTGAGTCCGATCCCCTTCTAAAAAAGATCCATTCCAGCTCTAAAATGGTTTGGCATGAAACATGATTTAGATTCACAGGGTTGTGCTTTAGGGATCTTGGGTATGTAGCGTCCTTGCTCCTAGTAGTGATGCCAGGAGCCCCTAGTAGTGTCCTTGCTCCTAGCGATGCCCTTTGCTCCTAGTAGCATCCAGAATGCAACAGTATCAAAAGTCCGACCCAAAACATCGCCACCGTGGGGCAGAGACTTCTCCCAGGCTGGGGGGGCACCATGGAGACCATGATGGCGGGCAAGCCGGTGATTTGCTACCCTGGCTTCGGAGATCAGCTCCTGAGCACCATTTCCGGTGTCAAAGACGCCACACAGGGTCTGTCAGGTGAGGGGCGTCCCGGGATGGCCCTGGTTTTTTTCCTGAGAGTCTTAGAACATCTTATGTAATCAAACATGATCAAAAGGCATCTCATTGATGTGTACAATTGTTTTAAAGTGTTTTGGACCACAAACTTGACTTTGTGAGTCCTGCAAAGTCAGCCAGCTCTCGCCAATAGGTCATGTTTGGAATTGCGAAGTGTTTCAGCTCCGTATTCATTTGATGTTGTTTGCATTTCTCCTTTTGAACATGTTTGCACAGAGCACCCCTTGAAATTATCATCCGGGCCAGGTGTGGTGGCTTGTGTGGATTTGATGGTGCCACGCGTTGTTGACAGTTCCAACATCCCAATTGTCCTTTGTTTTGGGTGGTTTGGGGATCTCCAGAGGATCACTAAACTTTGAACCCTGACTCCTTGAGAGTACATCGGGAAATGCGAGGAACATGACGGCATGACCAGCATAAGCCACCGAGCGGAAACCGGTGCCACAGCAGCTCAGCACCTGCAGTCACCTCCAGAAGCTCAGTCCACCTCCGAGGCATGAAAATGCCAAGCTTTTGAACTCCTTGGGCTGTGGCCCAATCCTGACGCCTGGCCGGTCGTCGGTCGCTTGCAGCCAAGGGGCGCCGTTCTTCGTCGCCACGAAAAATGGCGCGATTTGCGCCAGAGGGGGCGAGGAAGATTTGGTTTCCGATAGGAATCCCAAAACAAAAACATCCCAAGCCTTACGCCTTACACTCTTGCCTTCCAGCCCCGCAGGCTGAAAGGTGGAGACAAAGCTAGCTCATTTGAGGGGCTGCTCTAGGTGAGACAACTAACTAGACAGGTGCTGTTGGCCAACTCGTTGTGGATGAATGACCCGTCAGCCCATCAGCTACTCAGTTTGGAGAGTTGCTTTGCCAACGAAGCAGATTTGGGGAAGATGAGAAATCATGTTCCATTGACTGTTGTCATTTTTCTCCTCAGAATTGTTCAATGGTCCACTTGCATTCAGGTGTTTTACTTTTTGATGGGAGATGGGGAAAGTAGCTTCTCATCCTGCTCAGCCCAGGAATCCTTTGAAGTGTACCGCCAAGGATGTTCAGGCCGCGCTTGAGGAGAGGTCCTGACAACATGTGCTTTTCTAATTCAACAGGAGGCAGACCTTCTTTGCTATGTTCAATGTATCCTTTTGCGTCGGTGGTCAAAGACTTCTATTAAATGGTGTTCCTTTCAAGGTGCTTGTAAAAAAGCTGTCATATATATATATACATACAGTATCTTATAGGATGTTATATTACTTATATAATGGACTTTTTTGTATGTTCTTAAGACTCGCCTTAAGTGTATTAACGCAGGCGCAACACAGCCTCCCCCAAAAATGACTTCATTGTGTATGCCTTGACAAGTTGATTGCATGCACCAACTCTGACCTTCATTAGGTTTAGTAAGTGATGTGGAAACGAGTTGGGATGGAAGACCGTAGTTGTGTGAGAAGGACACATGCCCATCAGAAGAAAACACATCAAAAATTAACTTAAACATTACAAAGCACAGGTGGGAGAGAAAAGAAAGAACAGGAACAGTTTTCCGCTTCTTGCTTTGCGTGTGTTCCACATCTAGCCTTTCAAGCTTGAAAGTGTTCACTGTTTCACATTTTTTGCATTTTATGTTGTTGTTGTTGTTGTTGTTGTTGTTGTTGTTGTTGTTGTTGTTGTTGTTGTTGTTTGAAACTGGTAGAGCCTAAGAACACAACACAGTGCCCGAAAACACAATGCAACAATCCAAAGCACACAACTCAAAAACTAAGGCAACACAGACACTTGCTAAATGCAACGCGGAACCGGCACGCTATGATGCTCAAATGGTGTTTTCTGGGACGCTCAATTTTTGAAGGTTTGTTCACATGTTTGACATGGCCCCAGTTCAGCTTTCACAGCTTTAGGTCCGCTGACTCCCACTTGATTCCACGCACGCACTGCGCCAAGGCTTCGATGCAGAAGGGCTTCGTGAGTTTACTGCGGAAACGTTCTTTAAACAAACAGTTTGCTAGTAACATTTTTTTGGGTTTCCTTCATGCAAACTATTTTGGGTTTTTGGCCACACATAGTTTTGAGAAGCGTTGTAGGCAGTGTTTGCATCGTTTTAGCAAGTGTGTTCACAAATCAGTACGTCATAGCACGTATATCCCGAATCAGCCCCAAAACATACCCAGGCCCAAACATATCAACGAAACCCAGAAACATAAGTGTTACCAGAGGTCTAGGTAGCTGGACACTGTGTATGAAGTTTTTGGGTAGCGTTGTGCTAACGGAGCAAGCGCAGTTTCAGACCCAAATCCTGACAGGAGGTCATTGCCAACCGGGAGGCGTTTACAAAGAAGGCGCAGGAAGTGGGCAACTGACCTGCTATTTCAGATTATTTCAGAATATTTTCGTGCTGTGGATGATGAATCATTAGATATGTAGGCTTTTGATGTTGATCTGATCAATCAGTGATAATAACGGCAACCCTGTTTTGGTAGAGGCATTCCTGCTCCATCCTTTTTCCGCGACATGAGCAGAAACAGCGCACGGCTCATCCTTTGCGGAATTCACCCAGTGAGGCAAGAGCCTTCGAGAATCCCCTGGACCCGTGAAGACCGTCGAGCTCATTGAGGATGTGGTATCCTCACTGGCAGTAGATGTGGGCATCAGGTTTGTTTTTCCTTTGGGAGCCTGCAACCCTTCCAAAGGGATTTGTGCATTGAAGGGCTACGGCTACGTTCAGACGGGTGGATTTCGGTCGCAGGAAAGTGGACCCTGTGCCTGACCGAGTTGCGTGTGTTGGAGTCCAAGGTTGTTGTTTCACGGAAGTTAGCAACAGAAGACCTCAAGGACACCTGCTCCCGTTTCCAAACAACCTGCAACACTTGGGGGGGGAAGACTCTAGGGGTGTCCCACAAGGTGGTTGTTTTGATGACAATTTTCCAAAGACCTGCTGAACCCTTCTGGCTCTTGTGGGGGCCGCGAAGGAGTCTTCAGAAGTACGTTGTGTTCCTGGTGCCTTTAAAGAAGTATCACCAGCAAGCCAGCAGTTCCTCCTAGGCAAAGAATGGTTTGGGCTCCTTGGTGGATCAGCCATATCATCTTTCAGAGCCCACGGGCTGCCAGATTAGCTGAGCCTTGTCACAAATTCAGCCAATTGAGTCATGAAGGCGAGCTTGCAAAACCTGTTGGCGAGCTTACTTGGAACTTTGGCAAAACCTGCACCGTGATGCTTTGTCCCAACGGTATCGGCCCCACATCCATGTTGTCCTAAGCTGTAGACACTGGCCGTTCCTTGAACAGGTTTCCTCGGAGGGAGATGGTTTCCTAAGCTGTAGACACTGGCATGAATGGCGCCTGCAAATTGAAAGAACTTTGCACAGCATAGCAAAAATCCTACTGTCCTACAGGGCACTGGGAAGATGAGGGATTTACTTGTTGTTACCCGCTGCTAGTTTTTTGTGAGTGTTGAAGGTGGCATGCCCCTGGAAGACCAGACCCAGTGAAACGTGCAGGTGTTTATTGGTTCATGTCCTTTTGCGAGGACGTGGTGCAAAGTCTGTTGGTAAATTTGAGATGATGAAGTGCTCGTGATGCAGAGGGTCAAAGGGCGTAGTGAGGAGGGGTTAAGCACGTTTCACCTTGGTTTTGCAATGTTCTGCCTGTAAAGAAGCGATCACAGGATCAATTTGTACAGAAGCGCGTGCTTGGATTGCATGGATTGCTCAAGAACAAGGGTGCACAAGGGGTGGACTGGTCTTGAAGGTTAGGTGCTGTATATTCCTCCTGGAGTCGACGCATGAGTGCCTCCACGAAGTGTGTCTTGCGTCATGGTCCTGTGTGTCTTTGTGCTCCATTGATTTCCGGTGCTCCATTGAATTCCATGCGCACAAAGATTGGGTGCACAAGTGCAGAAGGGGCGAGAGTATTTGTTTTAGAGATTTTGGGGTTCTGATATTACAATGAGGGGAGCATTTTAATATGTACTGTAATATGAGTCAATTAATGTATGCACTCGACAGAACCGTTTTTTGTTATTTTGTTAGTGATTCCTTCTTGCGCATGGGCAGGACAACACCCCTGAGTGCTGAAAACTGCACCGATTTGCTGAGTGGAGTTTGGCTCCAACGACGCAGACGAAGACGAAGACCGGACAACGTTTATTGTTTTAGGTTGGATGTGTTTATGTTTACGCAAGGGCGAGTCTCCGGATTTGGGACAGTTGCCAGCGACTCCAATGAACTGAAGCGTTGCCAAGCTGCGGATCGCACTGTGGTCCAGTCCGAAGCCACGGGGAAGCCCCAAAACCGGCCCCACTCCGAGTTGAGCAAGAACACATAAGAACATCATGTATCACCATGTCATGTGCAACCTACCCAGGAGCTATATATCCTGCATTTTCCGGAGACAATTCGGGGAGTCAGCAACGATTTGATGCTCCAGGGGCACCCTGACCGAAGCTTGAGCAGTGGAATTGTCCCCACAGGTTGAGCTCTAACTACCAACTATTTGTCGCGCGAGGTGCCAAAAGCCGTCGCAGTGCCCTGAGTGAAATGTGGAAATGGCATGCTGCTGTTGGACTTCAATGAGCATAACTTTGGGTGGTCAAGCCCAAGGAACCAACCAATCAAACACAACAGGCACAACCAACCCCAACCACAAATCAGCCAACAAAGCTCATGGATATTGTCGGTTTGCTTTGCGAGCAGTAACTGGGGCTAATTGGGGTGAATTGGTATACGCGTCACTCCTTTGCTTGGAACCATTGAAGTGTTTAGGAATTCTTACTATGATTGAACAGCAGTGATTACACCTGTTTGGCTCAGAATTTCGTGTTCCCAAAGCACATCAGCACATACAGCTCTCGCATAGATTGGCCGTTGTCACCACTGTCATATTTGGGCTCAGACGGGCCTCGTGACCTTGGAAAATGGCGGGAAAACCACCAGATTGGGCGGGGTTGCCCAAGCGCTAGTATTCGACCGACTTGCGATGCAGCACGCTACGATAGATGCAATATCAAAACAAAACAAGTTCAAAGATAAATTCGGAATAACTTCTATACATATTTATATATATTAATATGTATATTGTATATAGACAACTACTCCCCATTCACCAATACTGTGGTGCATTTCAGACAGCAGTGATATGAATTGAATACTGTATTCGATATCATGGAAAAAAAAGGGGTTTTCAAGGTCGTCGAGCCACGATTGTGTTTTGAACTCCCACGCTCGCATGGTCAGGGGTAGTCGGGTTTCATGTTCGAGTGGCTCCCTGGATGAATCATGGAAGTGGGAAATGGTCCCCTTGAATCATTACAGTGGTTTCAGAGTAGATGGCACAAACCCCTACATGTCTTTGAGATGAGGGTCCATATAAACCACCTCTTGGTGATTGTGCCATCTACTCTGAGCCCACTATAGTTGGATGACAATTTTCCTTTGCCAACAGGCGGCTTTCCACTTCCATTATTTCAGGGAGTGCCAGCCTCACGTGCATCATCTCACCAGCCGCTAGCGGGACATCGAAACTAAGCTTCGGACCATGGCCCGGTTTTACAGAACCATTTGGTGGTTAAACCATGCACGTTAAAACATCATTTCATCCTACTTCAAACAGTCAAAGTTCCCTTTCGTCATTATTTTGGTAGTCCTTCGTTTCTATGCATCAATTTCGAAATGCTGACTCATCAGTGGCCATGGGGGAGAAAACTTAGAATATGAGTGGCGGCCTGATTCAGCATTCATAAGGAGGACGGACATCACAATTCCCAGAAACAAATATTTGAGGTGAGTCTAATTCAATTGATTCATTTAATGTTAGACATTCAATGTTGTAAAGAGCTGAGAAATTGTTTCATCTCAGGGAGGTCGCTAGCACTAGATACGGTAGCAAGGATTTGAGGGGGGACACTGAAGTTCTGTTTGAATAGGCTAGCACAACCTCTTGCGTGAGCAGAAGTTTGGGTTGGTTCTGAGAAACAAAGCTCATCACAGAATTTGCTAACAGCTAGCACTAGTGATGTTTGTAAAGCGTCAGGACATCTCACTATGCACTATATGCTCAAAAAACCTTGCAGAATAGTGTGTTGCAATTCACTCTAAGTTCGGGCCCTCCCGAGTTTGGCCGTCTTGAAACAAAAAAACGGCTGGAGTCCACAGCCTAAAGATCCAGTACAATCCGCTATTGCCGTGGACTGTTTGTTAGAACATGTGATGGCAATCACTCAGGCCTTCTCCCCGTCAAACTGCCACACTTTCTATACACAGAGACCATCCCATATTCTTAGACGTCTGGATGTTCCACTCAACGGTCCACCGAAACAACCGGCTCGTGCGAGCCAGGCCGCGGCGGCCTGTCTCGAAAACTTTCGTCAGTACCGGGAGATGGCCACACGGGAGGCCCACGGTTTCTCGAGCTCACGCTGCTCACGGTCCGTGGCCACAGTCGGAAAGTGGCCGGCAGCAGCACGGGAGTTTGTGTTCTTTTTTGGGGGGGGGCAAGGTTGAAGCTTTGCGTGCGAAGTTTTTTTTTAAAGAAATATTTTTGGTGAAGCAGACCATGAACCTTCCGTAGTTATCGTACTGACTGTAGTTATATAGATTTCAAGAGACCTGCTGGTTTTGTTTCTTCTTTGGAGGCTGGCGGGATGAGAGTGGCTCCGCATTGGAGTTACACCGGTGGTCACAGCGTCGCGGTGACAGGTGGAGCGAGTTCGAAGAAATCTCAATGGATTGTCTGATGATGACAAGGCTTCGCTGATCAGGACCCAGTGAGTGTCTCCGTGTCTCCCGCGGCGTTTCTTCGACGGACTCCATGCGTTCAACTGGGTTTGCAGAGGAAGCCAGTCACCGCTAGTCTTGCCAGGTGCCTATTTCAGGTTTTGTTTTAGAATGCTTTAGGCTTTACTGTAGGTCTTCGATAGAATGTCACAATTATATACATTCCTCAGCCTCACGTCCTACTTATATAGCTCGAAGGATTTGCTGGGGACTTTGGAGAGTTTTCACATGTTTATGCATGTTTGAAGAGCAGGTCTTACGGGAGATCCAATCAAACTTGACCACAACTGCCTCCCCAGCTGCTGATGTGAAGCTCGGCAAGCCACACGGCCCATGCCGAGTGAAAGCATGGTGGGGATGGACCACACATATCGAAGCCCAGTTGACCATCCCCTTTAACTCTGGGCAATGATCGGATATGATCGGTGGCATACGGTATGTGAGCAATTACTTATATTGTGCAAATGCCTAAAGTTATAAAGATCCTGACTCCAAGCTACTTTGGTGTCAAGACTATGAGGCATAGACCCCATCAGCTTCCTTTTCTTCAACAATTTTCATGTCAAATCTGGACGCCCGCCATCCAAGCTGCGCAGGAAGCCGGAGGAGCAGGTGAAGGCAATCGAGGAGGCACATCCTTGGATGGGCGAGGCGTTGGGCGCCTCGCATGGAGTGGAGATGTGACGTGGTCGAGGGACCCAACTTCTACCATGATTTGTGTGCTGTAGACGTGTGCAGGGAAGTCAGTCCAGGCGTTTGGCCGGCCTGCCATTGCCCAATGTTTGGGAAAGAGTTGTAGATGTTGTAGTCGATCCTTTGAATCAGACCGTCAACATCGGTCTCAGCGCGTGGTCAGCCCAGGGCGTGAGACTGATGTCAGCTGAGACCAGTGAATTCGTTGGAGACCAAACAGCAACGAAGCCCAAGAGGTTTTTGGCGTTTTGAGGATGGTGCCATGGTGCCATTTACTCTGACGATCCACTCACTGTTGGTCAGGACGATCTCGCCCTCCCACCATCCAGGGAAAATATCGCATATATTCTTCGGACGGGTGAGGCTGTGAAGGCTACGCTGACGTTGCTGGAGAAGCTGGAAGAGCTCATGAAGAAGGCGGCCGCGTGAACCCGCCTCAGCTCACCACACTCGATGGATCATCGGTGGAGAGGGAGAGCTGCTTGGAGTCCAAGCAGGGAGATGTGGTATCATGTTGGATAGTGTGGGAATCCAACCAGGAGATGCCGTTGGTCGTATATTAACGTTGTTTCATCTCGTTTCAAGGGCGTATATCTATAATATATAACATGATATAATTCATATTAGCTTTGGCCCTCTCTCTCTCTAGTAGTGCTCTAAATATTTTTATAAACAGATTTTGAAAACGACGTTACTATATTTGAATCCTATTGGACACATTGTTTCCCAGAGGGTACCCCCCCGTAGTTGCCTCAGGGTTGGGGCTGCCAACAAAGGGTAGACTATATAAAGGTACAATGTTGCCAGCTTCTGTGGCAGAGAAGGCGACAGAACTCACGGATTGATGCATTGAGTATTTGTGAAAACGCCAACTCTTGGTCATAGCTGCCTGACACTGTTTTGGACGCTCAAGCAAACGGTTGAAAAGCTTCTGAGTCCAAAGCACTTCCAGTGCCTGATTCTTCTATTCACTGGCCTATTTTTGAAACAAATAGCACACTCTTTCTAAATGATACACAGATTTGATACAATATCCATCTAAACTACTGTATTTATGTAGTATTATATTTACATTTCCAATGCTTATCCCCTTGCGCCCAACAAACAGGGCCAAACAACAACACCACTTAATCAAGGGCCAGCTGCTAGCCTGCTTAGATCAAAATGGTAGCAATGGGTTGCACGATGTGCCCCTAGTCGTGACTCCCACTGCATCTGGAACGCAAACCCCCTGCAGGAATCATAGGCGCACATGGAATAAATAGAACCATTGAACAGAGGATTAAGTTAGTGCTTTGGTTTGGTATCAAAGTGTCACTCAGACATCATCTACAAGACTTTGTCAGCCTTCCTCCTGCAAACGCCCCTACTCAGATTTGGCCTTTTTGGCACTGCTGGCAGAGCTGGGAGCTGGAGCAGGACCACTTGCTGAAGATGATGACCCCTCTCCCTGAGACTTTGTCTCTTCAAACCACTCCCAGAGCCATGCCACGCACGCTGCCCGAGCAGCCTCAGATGACATAGACGCCCTGCCAATCCCCGAGCTGTGAAAGTAAGACACTGACTTGGACTTCCGCATCAAATGCATTTGACCAGGTGGCAAAGTGGCAACCCATGCAGGCGAAGCATTCTTTGGAAAGATCTCGCGTAGACATGTCCCCTCTGGGATCTCCGGCGCTGCCTTTGCAAGAGCTGCCACGGCCTTGTCATGCACAGGCCATCCGACTTTCTCTCTCTCTGACTCCCCAGGCTTGGTCGTGTCAGTGTCTTCCTTCTTGTCTTCATCCTTTTTCTTGGACTGTGGCGGTGCCGACTTGTTCTTGTCGAACGCATGCTCTGGCTGCTCCATGTCAAAATCACTCTCTTGGTCAGTGTCATCATTGCCATTCTTGTCCTCTCCACCCTTCTTTCGCTTTGGAGCTTTTGACTTTTCCCCCTTGTGCTCCAAGAGAGCCGCCAACAAAGCTGCCTCGCAACTCTTGTCCATGCCAATCTCGACCTCTTCATCATCTTCTTCTTGAGAAGAGTTCTTCCTGCGGCGCACCTCTGACAAAATGCGAGCCACTTCCTTCTCATCGTACTGCATGTGTTTCAGAAGGAGTTCAACACGACCATAGTTTGTCAAAGCGCCTGCTTTGGCAATTCCACACTCCTTCATCATGCAATCCAATGCCACAGCAGTCAAACCTCGAGTGGTTGTGAGCACACATCAGAATTGGGAACACAGCACCCGCAGAGGCACAACAACACGTATCAGCTCTGGGAAAGTATTGCCCTGACAAAGTTCAAATCATCATCCTCACATATCAGCTACAGGCATAGTGTTTTGCTGCCGCTTGTACACTCATTTGGTTGTTCCATTTACACTTAGAGACAACAGTGCAAACAGAGACTTGACAACGTTGTCATATAACATTGACCTTTTCAGTCATGTGTTTCCCAGATGATAACACCAAAGCAAGTTCTGTATGAGTCCTTGGACTGCAAAACCCTTTTGTACTTATCCCTTTCCTCCTTGCCCTGAAATGTACCCCTGACTAGTGACGATGCAGCACGTTGCAAAAAAAGTATCATGGCTTGCTCTCCTACTATAGTGATATACTCGTTGTGCTTTTAAGATGAAACGTTTGAGGTATCAATATACCATCATACTGTGTATTTAACTTGTTGGAACATATGCAATGCCTAGGACTAGGACCTTTGAACACTCTGATGGTGTATATAGACCAGTATCAGTCCTGTGCAGAGTTGAATGGCCTTGTCACTATGTTTGTCTATATAAACCCAAGAGCGTCTTTAGTTTCATCGTATTGTTTCATACAATAAGACTCTTGCAAGTTCCCTAATTTGTAAAGTCATCTTCAGTCAGCAGCATTTGCAAGCAAAAAGCTGGAAGCTTTGTGCTCCAAAGCAAAGTTCATCACAGGCGTTGGAGCCTCGACAACCAGAACAGCCTTGTTCAAATCTGCGTCTCCACCGACACAAGCAAGATAGCACGTAGATACGCAAGGCGTGGACACATCATAGAAGATCACATCCTTCAAACTCCAACTACAACCAACTCAAATGTACAACTGGTCCCGGAACACAACTGTCGCTCTCACTCTAATGTCATCCATATGTGCATTACATTACAAATTGCATTCCAGGAGCTCTAGTTCAATTCCGATAAGGTAAAATCTGAGTTTTGCCTGTCCTCCACTTTGAGAAGGTCCTTCTCTGTGTCTGTAGGAAGCTTCGCTGCAGTGACAAGGCGGCCACCGTGAAGCATCATGTCTTCCACTTGCAATGGTAGCCACCTGACAAGGTAGGGTGTTGAGTCCACCACAAGGCCATGCTTGCCATCCAGCTCAAGAACCTGAGAGAGAGAGAGAGACTTTGACAATTCCCAGAGACAACCCCAGGACATAATCTATTGCGTATTTAAACAATGTGGACAATGTCTGTTGTTTCATTCTGTTTGGTCTGTAGATGTCCATGGCTTTGGGCCAACTATTGGCACCTGGCTTATTTAGATTGACTAAGGACAAACAAAACACGCGAACATTTCAGTCAAACAACTGCGCCCTCAGGAATGACAGAACTCACCCAAAGGTACGACGTGTTCTTCCACTTCTTTTCTGCTGCCAGCTTCCGAGCTTGCAAGCAGCTGAGACCATTCTGGACGAAGTGGAAAGCTGAAGTCCTCTTCTCTGCATTCTTGAGCATCTCACCAGGATGCTTCAACCCTGTCTCTGACAAGGTTGTCCTGCTAGCACACAAAACGTCCTTGCGAAGGAAACCAGAGGAAAATTGAGCACCAATCTGCGAAATGGCTGCCAACGGAGGTTGGGTTGTATCCAAAGTGTTGCCAAAGAGCTGGTTGGTGGTTTTGATGCATACAGAGCACACCTGAGCTGGCGCAGCCTTCTTGTGCTTGGAATGCCTGCTCTCAGCATCCCTCAACCGGCCGAACGTGTGTTCAACACTCACTGTGTTCCCACGCGAAGGCACCCATGGTTGCATGACTTTGCGGACATGCGCTGAAGAAGCATCCCATCCAGACTCTTCACAAGCTGTCATCACCTCCCGGTAAGCTTGCCAGCGCAAATGTTTGCATTGCGCCAGCCATTGGGCCTGCTTCGCCTCTTCCTCCAGAACAAAGGTCCACTCCTCCTTCATTTTCATCATGGCTTCCTGCGCCCACTTCCGGTCAAGCGCAGTGTCCTGCTGGAAGAAGAGAATCGCATTGAAAGGCGGAGATTCGTGAAGAAGACGGAACCTGTTGGTGTGCTTCATGAACTTCAAGTTGAAGGTCAAAATGTTCTGCAACACCTCAAACTCGTCTGAATTTTCTTCATTTGGCAGTGCAGCCGTGCCAGCATTGAAGCTGTTGATACCCATCTCAAACAAGTTGCACGGACCCAAGGACTCAATGAATCCTCTGCTCGACCACGTTGGGAAACCAAGGAGAACTTGCTTGATCCTGTCAATGTAGCAGCCATCGTTGTTGGTTCGTACCTGAATCAGGTGTGCAACAATCAAACCCTGAACTCCCAATCTGGACCGGTAAGAAGCTGGGTCATTGAAATCCGCCCACACCGCTTGTCGGTGCAGGGCGTGCTATGGGGCTCTCTAAGCTCTGCTGCTATTGCAAATAGCTTTGCTAGGGGGGGTGCCCTTTTTTTTCGCGCGTGCGCGGCTATGGTTGGGCTGCAGGGCCACTGGGGAGAGCATTTTGGAGGAGTTTTTGTGTTTTGGGGTGGTTGCTGCGTTGATTCTTGCTCGGCCTGCAGGGCCACTGCATTGGAGGTGTATTTTTGGATGGCTGCCGAAGTTGTATCACCATTATGGGCTCCAAGGTGGACGAAGTTGGCCCCAAGATGGCTCCAACGCAGCCGTAAGACAGCCAACCAGGCGCCCTTTTTTCGCGCGGTTGAGCTGCAGGGCCACTGGGGAGAGCGGTTTGGAGGAGTTTTTGTGTTTTGGGGTGGTTGCTGCGTTGATTCTTGCTCGGCTGCAGGGCCACTGGGGAGAGCGTTTTGGAGTTGTACTTTTGGATGGCTTTTGGCAATGCCGAAGTTGTATCACCATGGTAGACGAAGTTGGCCCCAAGATGGCTCCAACGCAGCCGTAAGACAGCCAACCAGGCGCCTTTTTTTCGCGCGTGCGTGGCTATGGTTGAGCTGCAGGGCCACTGGGGAGAGCGTTTTGGAGGAGTTTTTGTGTTTTGGGGTTTTGCTGCGTTGATTCTTGCTCGGCTGCAGGGCCACTGGGGCCACTGGGGGGGGCGTTTTGGTGGTGTATTTTTGGATGGCTTTTGGCAAGGCCAAAGTTATATCACCATTGCGGGCCCCAAGGTCGACGAAGTTGGCCCCAAGATGGCTCCAACGCAGCCGTAAGACAGCCAAACTGGCGCCTAGATGGCTGCACTTGTCCCCAACCTGGCGTCTAGATGGCTACTTCCATTTCACTAACTTTGGCTGTTCGTGCGCGGCGGCTGTCGACGCGAAGCGTCTTGAATATGTCAACACAAATGGAATGCGTTGTTGGAGGTCTTGGTATCCACGCACTATCAATGATGAACATGCTTTGACTAGAATAGTGCGTCTAATTGGAATGCACTGTTGCGCTGGCTGGCTGCGCTTATATAAAGAATAGATGGATATTTGATATTTGTGCGATTTGTGTGGTACGATTCATAAGAGAATCATACATTCATTTCTTTGGGGTTTTGATCATTTCTGAAATACTTAAGGCAGCTCTTTACTAACTACATGAACTTTATATATATACTTACATACACAAGCAGTATTGTATCTATATATATATAATATATGTTTTTAACTGGGCGCCATTCGAGTTAATACTCGTCATCATCACTTTGCAACAAAAGATGTAAATTTCGAACACACACAAATGCCTTTGTTAAAAATCTGGCAGAGTAGCCTCCTCAGCTGTGAACCATCTGAAAGGCCGCAAGACTTTGTGGATGCCCTTTGCCAGAGCTAACTTGCTCGGCTGCAGCAGGACCTCCAGATCCAGACTTTCCAAAGAGTTTCTATTCTCTAACACTCCAACCCACGCAATTGCTAAGGCACTACAGGGTAGCGTCTCAATACAAACGTGGTTTTGTCTACCGATGCCTATTTTTACATGGGCATCTTCCATTTAAGCATGACAAGTTGGACCTGTCACACATAAAACAATGACCAAGCCGCTCGCAAAACCTTGGGAAGGATTGACCACTTCTGACCTGTCGCTGGGTCAGAGATGCACTTCGCTGCAAAGTTCCATGGGTTTTCGCCTTCGAGAACACAAGCAGCCATGATGGCAAAAATGCGGATGTGCCACTGCCTCACCCACTTTGGAAACCAACATATGTTTCAAGACTTTTCAGGGTATATAGTCACAAGCTTTCAACAACAGTAACAACAACAACAACAACAGGAACGGACTGAAAAACGTTGGTGACACACTTCTAAACTCCCCTTCAAGTCGCTCCAACAGCACACTCAAGCCGTCCACCAGTGCATCCCAGCGGTTCATGTTGAACTCCAACGAATCCTTGCGACCCTTCTTCTGACTCCAGTCAAGGATCCTTTGCTTGACATGCTCGAAGTTGTTTGGGTCACAATGCAAGTCTTCACAGATCTTGGACATCAAAGGTGCAAGCAAAGGGTCGTTTGGCTCCATGCTAGATGCATAGATCCAGCATGCTTCCTTCAAACGTCGGCCAAAGCGAGAGGTGCTGTAGGGGGCCATGTCAAACTTCATGACCAAACCCAGCTCCCTGCGAATCACCTTCAAAACAGGAGAAGCAGAGTTGAAAGCCATGTCTTGCAAGCGAGCCATTTTGTGGCAGGTGTCCTGGCAAGAGGAACAATTGGACACGCCTTCCAAAAGCACGTTTGCACAGTAGTGAATTTGGAGAGGTATGCATGCTCCGACCAAACATCTGCTCAACAAACAGACCAAGTATCCCTGATTGGCAGCACAGAACATTCCTCTGCAAGGGCTGAAGCAAGGGAGTAGCCAGGGCTGCCCTCATCCATCACAAGTGCAAGCCGAAGATGGCCACCAAAGGTCTCTGTTAGGGTTGACTGCCATGTAGCCTCAGCAGTCTCCACATTCCAGTAGAAGACCTTGGCCACGCCTTCAGCGTCCTTGTAAGTGCAGCGCTGCTCACCAATCTTCACAGGCCGCAAAGCCACCGTGGGAGAAGTGTCAGACCACCGGAAGTCCATGAGTTTGTTCAGGCTTTGCTGGATTCCAAGCAACAGGTGGCGGGTCTTGACCTTCTCAGAGTACTTTGTCTCTGCAAACTGGACATCAGGAGCCAGCTTGCGCTTGGAGCCACGCTGGCTATCCAAAGCTTTTTGTACACCACGCTGACGCTTCCCTTCTAAAGGCACCATTTGGTGCATTGCCACCGGGGGCAATGGAGCATCTTCCAAGGCACCACGCTTCTCTGTAACAGGCTGGAGTGTCTCCTTGACAGCCATCATGAACATCGGAGGCGCTGAACAAACGAGTTGCCCAACCTGCGCCTGGACCACCATGACCTCCAAAGGCTCCAAAGGAGCAACGCCAACCTTTTATAGGTCAGTTGTTAGTTAAGACACCACTGTCACAGTGATCAATATCATCCCTTTCAACACCTTGAATAGATCATACACACATTTTCAATCCACACGCGCGCACACACAGACTTGTCACCTTTGTAACTCCATTCATTGCCCAAACAAAGACAGAATGGTTGCCCATCCAACTATATAGTCTTCATGTGTTGAAGGCCGGGCCTCCTGTCCAACTACACTGCAATCCTGGAACACAAGAAGGGAAGGAATGTCACCATCGTGAATGCTTTTGCAAAGGCGTAGGTGAAGCTCTTGGCCAGCTTGGATGTAGTACGCCGCTGCAAAGTGAGCTGCAGCAACTGTTCCTTGCGAAGACTTATTCCCAACAAGGCCCACCTCCACAAGATCCTCATTGCCACCATTCGCAGTGCCACAAAATCCAGAGTTCCTTGCCAAGAACCTGCGCAAGAGTTCTGTCTTCAACTGGAAGGCCCTGACATCCCGAGCACAGGAAGCATCTGTTGAGGATTCAACATGCATCCTGTCTGAAAGGATGCCTGGTTGGAGAAGGCTCTCATCAACACGTTGCGCAACGATGTGGAAGAGTCTTCTTTGAATTCGCGAAATACGAACATCACCAATCTCTGCATCCACTGGGATCCGCATCCAAAACCAAAGGAAATGATGAAGCGGAGCTGTAGCAGCGTTGCTTTGGCGAGAAGACCCCAAAGCCATTTGGTTCATCCACCTGATGATGCGCTGCAGGACTCAGACATCTAGAAATCATACACAGCAGGACTTGGTACACCTGCTACTATGAATGATGTGCGTGACTGCTTCACAAAAGGCACCTGCTGCACAATGCGCAGCCATTGATTTCATCTAGTTGTTTGATTCAACACACCTTAAACAAACACGCACATGGCACCCCTAGACTCAACATGAACTCAATCAAGGACCAATGGCCTCCCTATCTCCAAAGGTTTGTTCAGCACTTGTACATGTTCATTGTTTTGCTTTTTGCGAGCCTGTTCTTCAGTGTTCGCTGGTCTTGTGGCGAGAAGTGCTTCCAGAATTCCCCCAAGTCAACCAAGCGCTCCTCAACCGGAAGTTGAACAGTAGGCAGTAGCTTCAGCACCCACTTGGCATCAGAAATGCGAGAGCACATACGCGAAAGAAACTTGACTGCCTCCTCCTGGCATTGTAGAGCAAGGCCCCTGGTTTGAGCAAGAGCACCCAGGAGAAGCATAATTCCCAATGAGCTTGCTGCAGCCCATGGAAACCGGGGGTCCATGGGAAGTGGTGGTGCTTGGTGTGCACCTTTGTAGCCAACTTCACGAATGACATGCGCTTCGGCCACCCCCCACAAGCTTCTCAGATTCACAAGGTCCTGTTTGTTCCAATTCTGACTGTACCATGCATAAAATGCGGTGCGGGGAATCACTTTCGGCCAGAACTCCTTCACAATGACAAGATGCCGGTACCCTTGCCAGTTGGCTTTGCTCAAAGGTTCAGAAACCTGAGCGGAAAACCACAAACCACTGAGCAACAAGTGAACACACAAAACAACTTCCCACTGCGTGAGACTACAATGTAGAGTAAACCTGTTTCAGTATCACTGTCACTCCCAAGAACCTGGATCACTACGATAGTTTGCTCCACGCACTGCAGGTACATATGTTTCCATGCCGGTAAGGACGCTTCCTCTCCCTCCTCAATGTCAAGGTCAACAATCGCCTGCATCATAACACTAGGAAACGGGTTGGTTTGATGACCTGGCCGAATTGGAAAGTCAGCCTTCTTGCGAATCAAGTCGACAGCGCCATTCAAAACAGAAGGCTTCACAGGGCCGTTCAAAGCTGCAAAGCACTTCCCTGATCGTACTGCGGCATCCAGACCCATGACCAAACGATCCATCTTGGCGCGGTCAAGGACCTTGTCACCCAGCATGTCAGCCACAGCACGTACATGTCGGGTCTGCAGGGCAAAAAAAGAGCAGAAACACAAAGACCCAGCAGACACTCGCATCCAAATTGCATTCTGCTATTCACTTTGTCAGAGTGATGGGAAACAATCTCGTGTACCTACTTGATACTGTAGGTACCACAGAAATACTACATCACAAATAGTTGGGCAAAACTCACTGCCCTATTGAAAGCCGCCTCACTGTGCTGATCTGGTTCTTGGGAATCTCCGGATTGATCACCACTTTCCGCGCGACGTAGTCTACTGGAAAGCTCATCATTCACCCCACGCAAGGCATCTGGAGGAGCAGCGCTGCCCTCAGCGCTATGACTCCCCGGCATTGCACCAACAGAAGGTCGATGGTTCAAAGTGGTTTCCTACCGAGACAGGACTGTACAGAGGAATCAACAAGAAACAACATATGAGTCCAGAGTATTTTTGGGTTTCTTACTTTGGTAGCACTATTGACTCGTCCAGCAGCTACTCGCCAATCTGCTTGTCTGCGGTTCAACCAGTTTGGAGCAAACACACCAATGCAGAAGTCAGTACTCATACATCATACTATGTCTGTGTTCGGTTGACACAGCACTAATGCGTGTGAACCTACACTGTCATTGTACAGTGGACGTCCAAACCTGTGCCTCTTAGCCTTTGCCACCCTGCAGCTTTTTGTTTTGCCAAAGCCTAGTTCAGGTCAGATGATGGAAAAACAACAGAGCACCATGGGAACGTCACAGAATAGCACCGAGAGTGGTCATACTGAAACTATAGGTCCAGTCCCTAGCAAACTTGATTTCTGTTTTACATTCGATTCACATCCCCTGTGGTCCTCTGCAAGTGACTCCTGGTCGCACGTGCAATCAGAGCAAATGCACAGTGCTTCGCTCCATTCATCCCTGACTGCTGACCAAATTGAATTGTCCCACGTAGCTTTTATCAAATCCGCTCACGAAAAACCTTGTTCGAAACATAATTATCACCAAACATGTGCCATGCCAAGGTTCCTTGGCAACCACTCCAACACAGGATACAGCCAGCAGCTCAGGCACAGCTTGTCAGGAGGCATTATCAAAAGTGGATGCAGCTCCGCCTCCGCCATTTCCACTGCTCTAACTCTACGCCAGCCAGGCTGCAGGAAATATCACCCCTCACGTCCTTGTCTCAGCTGTACGTGTTTGTCTCACTACGACGTCCTTGCCTCCACACGTCTAGTGCCAACTCGACACACGATTGTTTCCTACGCGAACTCTGAGCCACTGCGATAGCCCGGAGCGGCCTACATGCCGCGCGTTTTTGAAGCAATATCTACTTAAGTAAGCGTATTTCTAGCTCACATTGTCCCTGTTTCTCCATGACACGTAGTTGCCTCAGGTTTTGGTTTTCTGAAAACAATCCACACACTACGCATCGAATTCCTAAGACACCTCGGTTGCGCGGAGCGACAGCGATGACCCGGAGGAACAGCGATGACCCGGAGCGACAGCGATGACCCGGAGCGACAGCGATGACCCGGAGCGACAGCGATCGTGTGAGCACACTTCATGCACACTCCTTCCTTCTTCTAGTGGGGACCTAGTGTTTCCTCTAGTTTACTCTTCGGAACCTCTACAGGGTCAGCTGGCCCCTCCAACCCTGACAGAAGCAATAGAATCAACTTCTTCTTTGGAACAAGTATGAAATGTTTTCCCAATAGTGTCATTTTCCTTAGCTGTATTCGGGGGAACAACAACAAAGGGGTTCACAGGTTCACTTGACAAAGTAAAGGATGTCTCTCCAACATGATTTGGTCCCTTACACCGCACTACAAACAGTGGAGCAGGCAGCCAATGCTCCCCGGAACAGGAAAGTCATTGTTTCTACCAGGCTGCAGGCCCTGGCTGCAATCAAAAAGCCTCTGAGTCTGCGGACTGCAAACGGCGTTCGACAACTCCACGGTGTATGTTTTGCAGTGGCAATATACACACAGATCTATGAATTGACCAAACACATTTGATGATTTAATGATACATGGAAAAACATAATTACTGCTTACGTTGATTACTTCCTTGTCCTATGCAAACAAAACCAAAAGAACAGCGCAAACACATGCAGTCCATCGCGTCGACCCAATGCGAATTCTGCCATCTACTATGGCAGCTTGGCAAAGCTCTAGGGTCAGTCCAGGCAGAACACACTGTTTGTGAGAGATTGTAAAGACAACCCAATGAGAAGCAGGTTTGCAGTAGCGCCTCCTTGTGGTCATACATCTATCCAATCAATGCCTAACACCGGCCGGGCTTGCCAACTACAAGCAGTTGTGTGTTAAACAGTGCTCCATGCACAAACACACAGCCAGCCTATGTATCACGGTTCTCGGTTGGAACCTACTACCGGCAACCACTTGCACAGCTGACGACCACCTGCTGTGCACTGACAGCCGTCCTTCCACCCAGCACTCATTCAGTCAGAATCCTGTCCAAAATCAGGTTCTTCTCCAGCACCATCACGGACCTGCAAGGCAACACAGCAACTGTGGAGAGCGCTCCCTACCGCCTATCCTAATCCCTTACAAGCCACCTCCCTGCAGTGTCCAATTCCTGAGGACATGAGATCTGGTGTACATGACAAGGAAGCCTCGACCATGTCCAAAGTCGTGCCCACGTTTGTTTTGGAAGAGACCCGTGACTAGTGTTGATCTGCTGAAGTACTATAAATCCCAGGATGGAACATGTTACAGCATTCCAAAAGCCACCCGAATACCCTGTGCACCTCGACCACTGGACGTTCAGCTTCACGATCGATGTCACGGGGCAGGGATGCCGACGAGTTGGAATGGAGCACATTGATGACAGCTTCACTGGCTTCCTGCAGTGATTGCCAGGGACACCAGCGACCGCATACATACACCCCTCCATTGAGAACATTATATAGAGTATTTTACCACATACACAAACATTACCAGATCACAAACACACTACCCCTTTGTGAGCGTCGGCCAGTTTGAGCAGCACACGCAAACCCTTGGGTGTCCTTTGACAACGCTCCACATGCCACTGCGCCAATGAGGATGTCTTCCATGCTCTTGGCGAATGCCTTGTCAGGCGCAGGAGATTCAGACCTGCTCTTAGCCTTCTCCGGCGTGCCTGCAGACTCATCCTTCCTACGACTGGCACCAGAAACAAAGTCTTCGGCAAAGCGTCCACAAAAGATGTCCCTGTCAGAGGAGGTCACCTCTGGCGGTGTCTGAGGGCTTTTTGGATCATAGTAGCGGCTGTCACTGCTGCGCGAGACATCTGATTCACTCCTCTTCCTTGCCCCCCTCTCTTCACGCTTCACCTTCTCACTCTTCTCCACACGAGTCGACCGGGTCTCCTCCAATTGCCTCACCTCTGTGCGGGTCTCGCGCTGCCTGCGCTGCTCCTCTTTGCTCGGCTGCCTACGCCGGTCCCTGGACTTCTGCTCACCCTTGTGCTTTTTCTCCTGCCGACGCTTCGCCTCCCGTTCACTCCGGAAAGTCACTTCATCATAGAAGTGCTCAAGCTCACCCTTGGCAGCATTCACGCTGTTGCTCACAAGCTTTTCAAGCTGCGCAGGCATCTTCGGATTCTTGCGCAGTTGCCTCACTATCTCGGGCAACGTGCTCATTCTCAAAGCCATGAGGCTTGGGTAGCCAAGGAGATGAGTGCGCCTGCTCTTCCCTGTAGCCAGCCTCAGCTACATACTACACCGGCGCGTGTATTGCTGGACAGGTTGTAAGTGCACCTTTTGTTCTCACAATGTGTATGGCCACATATTGATGTCATAATGTGATCATCAATGCTTTTTGTCCACTGTTTGAATGTTTGTGTCGAAAGATTAGCTATTGTATATATATATTTATTTATAAATATTTTTTAAACGAATGCTATACTATATGAATTGTCAATAGTGTTTATCTTGGACCTTCAACGAAAGTGAATCTGAAGCTCAAAGTCCCCAGGAAGCAAAACGATTGCTGCTCAGGGCAGCGCCCAGCCACAAGTTGCATTCGTTGTGAGACAAGAACTATCAGCATACACAACTAGCGGCGGTTTCTCACCCCCATTTGGTGTCAGTGAAAAACTCAATGTACTACATCTCTTGCCCCATTTTTCACCCTTTGCACCGAGCTGCTCGTAAATCTCACACAGGCGACTTTTCCATTTCCTCAGCACAGCTTCCTCAGCACAAACCATCTCCTCGCACTGCTGCGAACGTTTGGATTCTTCCCCTTTTTTCTTGAGCCTTGCTGCAGCTGCCTGCCGAAGTGCAAACAATTCCCCTCCAGTTTCATGCAGGGTGTACGTTGACAACTGCGGTAGCTTGGTGGTGCAACCTGGCGGCTGAGCCAATACAAAAATGATGGCTTCAGGTGCCAAATCCTCCACTTTAATTTGCTTCTTTGTCTTCAGCTTCAAAGTGGCCATGTTCAAGCCCAGCTGAAGCGCCAAGCTGCTCATTTGAGTTTCTGGATCCATGTCCTCACTGGCCGACTCTGATCCGGGCTCTTCTCCTTGGGGTGAACGACTCCTGGAAGACTCCCTTCTCCCACGGCTAGTCTTGCCCCTATCCTTTCTCTCACGCCGCGAGCGAGACCTGCGATGACGACCAGAAGAGCGACCTCGATGAGCTCGACCAGAAGAACGCCCTGGCTGAGCTCCAGAAGTGAGATCACCAGAACGACCCTCTTCGTTCTCATTGATCAACCGCTTGGCCATGGAAACCTTCCAGGGTTGAGACTTGTGACAGCCACACATTGTAGTAGTATGACTCAGTGCTCTGGTTCCTACATACAGTCTCTGGTCATACATCAACAAAACAAGCAGTGCGCAGCATACCTGCATCGACCAGACACACACTTCCCATTGGTCAATCAGTTCATTCAGCCATGACATTGCCTTCAGCTGACTACACTTTTAGCTGCAAACATACATTTGGTAGGCTCGCCTGCATCTCTGAAACGCACTTCTGGAAACTATGCTGCAAGCCTGCAACTGCATCGACCTTTTGTTCATCCTTCTTTGTCTCACCTTCATGAGTGTGTAATGAAGGCATCGCAAAGATCGACTTTCTCTTCGTCTCTGGCTTGCCGCTACCAGACATCTCCGAAGACAGGCCGGAAAGGAATCACTCCGACTAGAATGCACACAACCGAACGGCTACAGTAGTGAATATCAAGTGATACTGATACATTGATTTTTCACCACACGCCGATGCCACTAATGAACCATTGCACCGCAAAGAGGTCCGAAGATGTGAAGAACATTGAAATATCATAGCTCGCCTTCAACACGAAAGTCTGGTGTGTATATATTTTTCACAAATGTACATACACAAAAGTGCA